AATTCATCCCCCATATAGTAATTCATCCCCCCCATAGTAATTCATCCCCCCCATAGTAATTCATCCCCCCCATAGTAATTCATCCCCCCCATAGTAATTCATCCCCCATAGTAATTCATCCCCCATATAGTAAGTCCCCCCTGTGTCAATTCACTTACCTTTGCTCCGCGCGTTCCTCTCGCCGTGTTCCCACGCCGTTCTGGTCTTCAGGGCGGACTGTGAGAGGAGGAGTTCGTCACGCTGCCCCGCCTACATCCTCCTGGCTGCCCCGCCTACATCCTGACAGCTGCAGAGTCCTGACTTTTGGGGTGGCCGCCCGAGAGGAGGGAGGGGGGCGGCCGCCCGAGAGGAGGGAGGGGAGCGGGCGGCCACCCGAGAGGAGGGAGGGGAGCGGGCGGCCACCCGAGAGGAGGGAGGGGAGCGGGCGGCCACCCGAGAGGAGGGAGGGGAGCGGCCGCCCGAGAGGAGGGAGGGGGGCGGGTGCCCGGCACACAGAAGAGCCGCATTTAAGTTTGTAAAGAGCCGCATGTGGCTCACGAGCCGCGGCTTGCCGACCACTGCGCTAGGCTGTTCCGATGGGGAAATTACAGCCTGCACTATAGCCACTGCCCTCTCGATTATCCACTTCAAATTGTTATTAAAAACAGAAAAATCAGACTTATCACTTTGGGAAAAACCCCACCTCTTCCTTTATGGACACCAACTCCTATTCCATGGTCTTTCCTTTACACCACTTGCTGCAAAATCCAGCTGCCACAGAATTCTGGAAGTGCTTGGATGTTTGTAAGCAGATGCAATTAGCCAATTTGCCACTACGTGGCTCTGTCCCAAAATAGTGTGGTGGAGAATTGTGTAATTGGGTGTTAGGTCCCCTTTTATGTAGTGGATGTTGTGATGATTGTGGCGTCAGACCCCCAGCCCTTTTCACCAACTCGTGACCGAAGGACTAGCCAATCTAAAACCGCGCTGTCACGTGCGTAACAATACTATGCTCAGCTGCACCCTGCACAAAGATTTTCCAGCTAATGGACCACAATCTATGTACCACAGCCTGAGAGCGATTGTTACTGGGTCAGGTTAATTACGCAATTAACCATTCACACTGCCACCACCAATTTTTTATACAGAGTAGGAGGAAACTCGACAATATTAGCAATCACACTATGATGTTTGAATAATCATCTGTATACCACTGTCACCACAGGCAGAGATATATAGAGGTTTAAAAACACCCAGTAGCGCTCTTCAGAGACAGGGATTCTTAGTTTGCATTAAAGAGCTTTAGAAACAGTTCAAACACTTTTCAGATAATAGGATTTATTACTAAAAAAAGGTCAAAAAAGGTGCAATAAAAATATTTACAGAAAAAGATGTAGCACATACACACATATATATATATATATATATATATATATATATATATATACACACACACACACACACACACACACACACACACACACACACACACACACACACAGAGAGAGTAATAACACAGCAAAGAGATAACAGAAAGAAGTTTAGAGAGGTAGATACTTGTCGTCAGCCTTGGTTTAAGCAGATCAAGTTTCAGAGCAAAGGGTACAGTCTCCCAAGTTGAGTTGGTTCCGATGTTAAAAGGGAGATTTCTTAAACTCAACTTAACTCTCTGCTCCAAGCATAACAGCCTTTTTCTAGGAACTCAGCAGGGTGTCTCCTTGAAGCAGAGAACCAATCGCCTCATTAGGAGAGGGTGTTGTAGGCGGGGGACTCAGGTTAGAACCAAAATCCCTCACAAGTTATACCAGGGCAATAACCTTCCCTAGGTACATGTAACATTCTATCCACGGGTAGATTAATATGCAGAATCATCTGCTGAACGTCTAGATATCAAACATGGCATAGTTCACTATTTCAGCTAGAACTATATGCTTTCTGCTCTCCTGTAGACTTCAACTAGGGGGCGTAAGATATCAGGCGACTTGTATTAAACTGAGCTATCCGAATATATGCTTTATGTTTCTGTAATTATTTCCTACCTTGAGATATAAAATTATATGGAAAAGTGGGTTTTTAAATGTGAGTCTGTTTTACCGCTAGCTGGAATGTCTTTGAAGCCCAGTGAAGGACTGGTTTATGGCTTTACTATCCTTTCCAAGCAAGAGTCTCACAGACATACTGGGGCCAGGCTAATTGGGGTTTATAACCATGAAGCTGGGGCCTGATGCCTGAGATCTCTCAGCATCATACAGACCACTTGTCACTCAACAGAGAAGGAGGGGGGATAGGAGGAGGGAGAGAGAGATACAAGATGGAGGGTCTTTAGCAAGATGGATGACCACGTCCATCTCTGTGTGCACAATTGCTACAGATGTAGTCAGCTACTGACAAGGGCCCTTCATGGGGCTGGGGTGAGGTAGTTCAACACCCAGAAGAACTAGCTGTTTTCGCCCTGACTTGAGCTATGATCTAAGTGGATTGGGAGACAGATGCAAAATGCCTTTTAGGCCAGGCTAAGCGTTTTCTCAAATGAGTGAGTGTGGCAGCATGCTCTGCTGTGTAAAGCTATGGGTGGAGTAGTATACGACAGAAAGCACCCTGTTAATCTCGGCTGACAGAGCAGGATGCTTCACCTTTGGACTGTGTGAACAATGTGATAGGCCACACAGCAATCAGATCACACAGTTCCACCAGCACTGACATATCCACCACTATTGTGAGCGCTTACATTGTGATACAAGCCGAGTCCTTCCCCTGCTGTGCTGATTGACAAAGCATGTCTCCAGCCTGCTCCTGCTGCAGGAAATCAGCGCAGTTGGTCAGACCCAATTATTTGTCTCCTTGTAAGCCACGTGGTCAGACAGCGGTGGGGTGGTGGTTCACCTAACTGGCCTCTGCAATTTATATATCTCTCAGTGACTTTATAAGTGACATCTCTGTGTTGAGTTCCTGGTTCTATCAACATGCTTTGGCCATTATGAGGGGGTCCCATATTTTAAATTTTTTTTTACAGTATGTAGCAATTCTCCCAAAGGTAACACTTGGTATATTAAGTTCTCTGCTCTGTGCCTCAACTCCGATAACACCCTCAGCCCCTCTGGCACAACTAGTTGAACAGAAATTGCCACAAGAAAAAAAATGTAGCGTCACACGCAAAGATACCTTTGACTTGGTAGCGAGCCAATACCAGAAAATTAACATTTAGTGGTAAAGGAACTCAAAATATTGGAATGGGTTGGAGTAAATAGTGGTTTGAGTGCAAATATACAGAAGGTAGGCGTAGACAGCCTGCTAGACAGTGTAGTCACTATACCAAAGCAACTTACATAAGGAGTTATGTATTGTAGACTATTGTAGACTGGAATTAAAACACAAACTAGCAGGATCGGTAGTAGACAGAGAACATAAACATTGACTGTTTTGTGACTAGGGATATTGCAACTACTTAGGGTGCACCCAAAGAAAGACTGTGCGATACCCCTAGGAGGCACTAAGCAACTAGCAAATTTCTCTATGTGGCAAATATAAATGGATAGTCTTTAGTTCTAGTTCTTCAGCTGGCTAATGTTGGGGCCCGATCATACCATTGGTGCACATGAGAACAGTCACAGAAATGCTAGAGCTCTACAGGCTTTACAGTTATAGTGAGGCCTGCAGGTAGTAACAGACTATAGGACACGCAATTTGATGCCCTGGTTCAGAGTGGTTCTGGACCTTGGCTCACCCAGCATTACCGCTTTAGTGTCGGTGCAGCACTAAGCGCTCGGTGGTGGTAACACAGTCCCAGTCTCCTCACTCTCTAATAGTCTCTCTCTCTGGTCCCAAAGTGGTATTCCCAAGGCCTCAGCTCTAGACGCAGGCAGGTCTGACACCAGGGATGTGTTCACTCCCTCTTCCTACAGTAACAAACCATATGTTTCAAAGGAACAGCCCAGGAAGATACTGTTTTCCTCTCCTCCTCAGTCTTCTGAGAGATGTAGTCCATTGGGGAATGAGGGCCTGAATAAGTCTCCCTGTCTTGACTTCAACTCCCACCAACCACTGCGGCCAGCTTCACAGTTCATTGGGTGCTTCCGGCACTCAAGCTCCCTCTGCTGATGGAGTCAGTAGCACATTGAAGTGCAGCTTGTCTGTTTGCGTCCAGTGCACAGGTAGCTACTAATAATGTCACGGCTTGGTTCTTGCAGCCTAGCACTTGCTACACTTATTATGAAGGATGCAAGCATAGATAAAGGAAAACAAAATATGGGCAGGAACACTTAAAACTTACAGGTGGATAGGAACTACAGCAGAGAAATCTCACATAAGTCAGTAGCTGACTCGTTCAAAATTAGCACTTGTGTAGACCGTTTCTTCAAAGTGGTATAAACTCCACTTTTTTTCTTTTTTATTAACGGGCCCTCTTAGTGGTTTATGTCAAACTGTGCTAGCATGCACCGCATATTAGCATGTTATGACAGACTTACTTCCATCTGCGCCCAGTCTTCCTTCCAGGTTCGATCTCTCGGCTATAATGATGTCACGCCCACAAATGCACATAGGAGTCACTTCATCACAACAGAGTAGTGCCTTAAATGCATGCTGAGCTGCGCATTCGTGGCAGTGTACACATTACAACTGCTAGGCAAAGGGAAGCATTTATGGCAGAAGAGACAGATCTCTTCCGTCATAGTATCCCTATTTATCAGTATTTTTTTTTTTTTAAGCGTTTAATACCACTTTTTCCCCTAGTTTTACCCTTTTAACATGCACGTTAGCACGTGTTAAAAGCTTACCCACTATAGGTCTGTTTCATATTCAGAAACAGTTTCAGAGATTAGATAAGCCCTGAATATGATCACATTTCTGATATTTATGATATATGCAGCTAAAATGTGACTCAAACTAAGTGTGCACAAATTATTTCCATATCACTTAAATGGTTAATTTATTGACTAATTTGATAAGAATAAACTGGAATATAGCAGTTAACGACTGTACCACTGAAGAGAAAAAGCAGCAACAAAAAGTGCAGATCTTACCTATAGTGGTAACCACTGTTCCAGCGAAAAAGAAGGCACTGCCAAAATTCCAGTTAGTGTGGAGGCGGCTTGATGTTCTGTTCTCTAGAGGGTTTAACCCCTGTTTGACTGCTTCTGTAACAACCTGATTTAAAAACAATTTTAATGGTATTCACTGCAAATTAATTTATGAAATACTATAGGCTCAATTCACAAAGCTACTACACCAGCAAAAGGATAGTTTAAAAAAAAAAAAAAGTCATTTTCAGTTCAATGAAAATTAGTCTTTATATATACTGTATATCAAACTGTGCACGGCTATAACAATCCTACCTACAGTTGTGTTCAAAATAATAGCAGTCAGACATCACTAACCTGATCAATCACTGTTTTTGGTAGAAATTATATTACTACATGGCAAAAAATTTACTAGCAGGTGTAGTAGAGTAATAGAAATACAACACACCCAACAGTCATGACATGCATGCTGCTGATTCTGTGTAATTGAATCACTAATTGAAAGGGGCATGTTCAAAATAATAGCAGTGTGGAGTTCTATTAGTGAGGTCATTTATTCTTTGAAAAACAGGTGGCAATTATTGCCCTTATTTAAGGAAGGAAGGCAGCAAATGTACATGCTGGTTACAGTGCATTTCTCTCTGAAATTCTGAGGAAAATGGGTCGTTCCAGACATTGTTCAGAAGAACAGCGTACCTTGATTAAAAAGTTGATTGGAGAGGGGAAAACATAAAGAAGTGCAGAAAATGATAGGCTGCTCAGCTAAAATTATCGCAAATGCTTTAAAATGACAACCAAAACCTGAAAGCCGTGGAAGAAAGCGAAAAACTACCATTCGAATGGATAGAAGAATAGCCAAAATGGCAAGGACTCAGCCAACAATCAGCTCCAGGAAGATCAAAGAAGGTCTAAAGTTACCTGTGAGTACTGTTACAATTAGAAGACGCCTATGTGAAGCCAAGCTATCTGCAAGAAGCCCCCGCAAAGTCCCACTGTTGAAAAAAAAGACGTGCTGAAGAGGTTACAATTAGCCAAAGAGCACATTGACTGGCCTAAAGAGAAATGGCGCAACATTTTGTGGACTGAGGAAAGTAAGATTGTTCTTTTTGGGTCTAGTGGCCAGAGACAGTTTGTCAGACGATCCCCAAACACTGAATTCAAGCCATAGTACACTGTGAAGACAGTGAAGCATGGTTGCGCAAGCATCATGATACCAGGGATCATGGATCAGTTTGAATACATCAGAATACTTGAAGAGGTCATGCTGAAGAGGAAATGCCTTTGAAATGGGTGTTCCAACAAGACAATGGCCCCAAACACACCAGTAAACGTGCAACATCTTGGTTCTAGACCAACAAGATTGACGTTATGGAGTGGCCGGCCCAATCCCCGGATCTTAATCCAATAGAAAACTTGTGGGGTGACATCAAAAATGCAGTTTCTGAGGCAAAACCAAGGAATAGAGAAGAACTGTGGAATGTAGTCCAAACATCCTGGGCTGGAATACCTGTTCACAGGTGCCAGAAGTTGGTTGACTCCATGCAACACAGATGTACAGCAGTTCTCAGAAACAGTGCTTATACAACTAAATATTAATTGATTCAAAGGTAAGCAAAATCTTCAAACATTTTTCAGTTTATATAGTGAATGTTTGAGTTTGTAAAGAAGAATACAAACACTGCTATTTTTTTGAACAGTCTAATATTCCCTTTTCTTCAATTTTTTTAGAGGAACAACACAAATTTGATATATTTTTCTTCATGTTTTGATTTGGAATAGAATGTGTAGTGTTCCCAATGCATTTGTGTGTATGGAAATAAAAGCTATTAGAAGGTTTTGAGCTTTATTCACTTTTTTCAAACACACTGCTATTATTTTGAACACAACTGTATATACAATGGGTACTATTTGTCAGATTCCACCCAATAAATGTGTGTTACCCTACAAAATAAATAAAAATAAAAATGGTGTAGCACTTTTATAGCAAATATCAAACATATATACAATGCTAAAATAAATTTTACCACCATGTACATATACAACTTAGGATAAATTATGTCCCATGTGCAAAAAATATCTCTCAAAACTTGCTGTATATCACTTTAAACAATTCCACTATTTCCACCAAAATGTGTCCATTCCACCACTTCTCCACAATAGGTGCTCCACTTCCACCAGATGTGCTCTCACCTGATATAGTTGACCCACATGAAAATGCAAGGTCAAGTATGGCGTGTATCCCTTTTAAATGGGATCTTTATTTGCTCCGCACTGCTCTCAGCAACCCTTCAAAACCGGGACCCTCATCATGCAATGGTTAATGGCACTGAACCTTTTGCAGTTTTCAACATCAATTTCCCTTTAAGATGACCTTCAATGCTTCCAGTTCTCTCGCTCAGGTCTGCTACTCAGCAACATATAAAAAGGAACACACCCCAAAGTGCTTCAACTTTAAAATGTATTCACTCACTCCAAAAAATGAAATTCACATTAGCATGTGCAAAAATTAATTACCGAGCTCAAGAATAAATGTATATGAAAATCACCAATATTTCACTCTAGTTTAATTACATCAGATACTGTTCCTCCTCGGTACTCCTTGCGTGATGACGTCATCTACATAAGTCCTGCCTCTACATGTTTCCTCACAGGGTCATGTGACTTCCTCACGTTTTAGTATTGTATATTTGATATTTAAAATATAAGCATTATACCAATTTTATTTTAAGTTCTTGAAAAATTAGTGTCGCTCGGCTAGAAATAAATGGTCTTTATTCTTGTGCCAAGAGCCTGTTCAGACATAACGTGCATTAAAATTATCAAAAAAATGGATGTGCATTGCCTTCCATTGACCCACATTTCTATGAACATTAAATTGCTATGCAGTTTGCAGATTATTTCCTCCAACATCACATCATTTGCCAGTTTGTGGGTTGAGCAAAGTAGTGAGGGAGAAAAATAGAGAGAGAGACAGAGACAAAAACACACCTTTGTTCTGGAGAGGCATTGGTAAATGGATTGTCTAGAGCAGTGGTTGGCAAGCCGCGGCTCTTTACAAACTTAAATGCGGCTCTTCTGTGTGCCGGGCGCCCGCTCCCCTCCCTCCTCTCGGGCGGCCGCCCCCCTCCCTCCTCTCGGGCGGCCCCGCCGCTCCCCTCCCTCCTCTCGGGCGGCCGCCCCCCTCCCTCCTCTCGGGCGGCCGCCCCAAAAGTCAGGACTCTGCAGCTGTCAGGATGTAGGCGGGGCAGCCAGGATGTAGGCGGGGCAGTGTGACGAACTCCTCTCCTCTCACAGTCCGCCCTGAAGACCAGAACGGCGCGGGAACACGGCGAGAGGAACGCGCGGAGCAAAGGTAAGTGAATTGACACAGGGGGGACTTACTATATGGGGGATGAATTAATATATGGGGGATGAATTACTATATGGGGGATGAATTACTATACGGGAGATGTATTTTCAGTTTTAAAAATGTGGCTCTCAAAATAAATTTCAATCGTGGTTTTGGCGAGATTTGGCTCAGTTGAAAAAAAAGGTTGCCCACCACTGGTCTAGAGTAACAGCCCTATTCATGGCGATTGCACTAGCTACATTCAGATGAATGAGGAGCTTGGGGTAAGCCAAGGGGCACTATTGAGTGCATCCATTGCTCACGCAAAGTGTGAGTAAAGCACACTCATTATTTCTATAAACCCTGCCATTGACACACCTCAGTATTTGTCTTTCCACTTTTCTCTCTACTTCTGAGCTGGTTGCAGTATGGGTCCTTGTAAGGAACAAAAAAAAAAAGAGTAAAAATCTTTTTCTCAACTTGACCTGTTGTGCATCTACCGGGATTTATGTGCGTGGAGTTAAAATGCATGCATGTAGCATAATAACGCACCATACCACACATGACACCAGTGTTGTGTAGTGAAGAGGACACAGAAAACAATTGTTTTTCTATGTATCCTTGTGGTGACTTGCCATCTTCCAATGTTGTAATACGCAGGTCACTGTAGTAGTATGTATGAACGGGTCCCTAACTGGGATTGGGAGTACGTAGGTCACTGTAGTATGTATGAACAGGTCCTTAACTGGGATTGGGATTATGTAGGTCACTGTAGTATGTATGAACAGGTCCTTAACTGGGATTGGGAGTACGTAGGTCACTGTAGTATGTATGAACAGGTCCTTAACTGGGATTGGGAGTATGTAGGTCACTGTAGTATGTATGAACAGGTCCTTAATTGGGATTGGGAGTACCTGCTGAGGCTAGGTTCACACTTGCGTGTGGGCTTGAGAACCCTTTCATTTAAAGGGGCTGCTGTACCCCGGGACACGCAGGAAAGAAGTCCCTGCACTATTTCTTTTAAATCGGAGCCCGCACTGAGGTTCTCAATACAGTTACGATTTCCAGTGCGGGTGACGTGCCTTTTGGATTAATGGCACCAGCTCGCGGGTCCCGCATTTCTCTTTGTGGGCGGTTGTGACGTCCAGTATTTGTGCGGGTCCCACAACAGCACCAATTGCATAGATGTCAACAGAGCCTGACTCTGCCATCAGCAAAGCTCATGCTTCCTGCTGATTGGAGAGCTAAATATCTTACTGAACAGATGGGGGCTTGTCGATGACAGACAACTGCTTACACGTAGAGAACAAGGGTCCTCCTATGCAGCAATCTAGAAGGGGGCAGGCTTTTCTACTCAGGCTGTGGCTAGTTTTCTAATGAAACCAGGCCGTGAGACTTTGTTTTGGAATGTATTTAGCTAAAATGTAAACTAAAAGTTTAATTAGACTTTCAACTGACAAGAACAACATCTGATGGTTATCTTTCCATCTTCGAATGTAGAGTCCCAGTGCACATACTATAAATAAAAGGAAAGGACTCTATAAATAACAAATTAATGAAGGGTTGTGTCAAATGTTCTGTGCTGGACTCATTTGCATCTAAACATTTGAGCAGAAAATAATTTTTATGCAGCTTGCAGCCAAGAAAATGTTTTGCTTATACCCAAATATGTACCATGAGTGCATGCAAAGTTAATAAATGTTGCTTCATCCCAGCTATGCCTTTATATTGAGAGTAGACAGCTCCGGAGTCTTGCAAGCCATGTTAGGTATTCCCAAAACCAAGTTCTAGGAGTTTGCTCT